GCCACCAGGGAAGCCCATCTTTACATTTTTAACATGCACACTCGACCACAAGTTTTTCTAAGAAATTCTAAACTTGTTTACTGTCTCTATCCTCCTCCGGAACAACTCAACGACCTCAATGAGTCTTACTCTTTAAAACAGCCTCCCTCACCTTATTACTGTTGTCTAGAGCAGTGCTCCTCAAACTCTCTGTGGGAAAGGGTTGGTTGCTTTTCCTTCAATCCACTGTGAGCTGATACTTTTATAAAATACAAAAAAGGCACAATAATGTCAAATTGCTATAAATGTTTAAAAACATTTACGTCAAGGCTTCCCTGGTGGTGCAGTGGTTAAGAATCCGCCTGCCAATGCAGGGGACACGGGTTTGAGCCCTGGTCTGGGAAGATCCCACATGCCACGGAGCAACTAAGCCCGCGCGCCACAACTACTGAGCCTGCGTTCTAGAGCCCGCAAGCCACAACTCCTGAGCCCAGGTGCCACATCTACTCAGCTTTTATGCTCATTTAGTGTTCATTTCGCCCAGAGGAGCACATCTTTCAGCCAACACCCAAGGCTTCTGCCCACGTCTTTGCATTTCTATTCCATTTCTGTTCCAGAGACGTTTATTATCTTGCTCTTTGCTTGTTTTAGCAAGGTATGCCTCTTTAAACTTCTCTGATTTCATCAATTGCTATTTTTTGTTTGGTTCAGCAGAGGGTCTCACAGTGTGCACTTATAATACCTTCTTGACTGGAAACCCTGCTTATGGCTTTCTTGAAAAAGAAAGAAAGAAAAAAAAACTTTTTAAGGAGATTCAACCTATATGTTAGGTGTTCATTTGAAAGCTGGTACAGGGGGACTTCCTTGGTGGTGCAGTGGTTAAGAATCCACCTGCCAATGCAGGGGACACGGGTTCAAGCCCTGGTCTGGAGAGACTCCACATGCCATGGAGGAACTAAGCCCGTGCGCCACAACTACTGAGCCTGCGCTCTAGAGCTCACGAGCCACAACTACTGAGCCCAGGTGCCACATCTACTTAAGCCTGTGCTCCTAGAGCCCATGCTCTGCAACAAGAGAAGACACTGCAATGAGAAGCCTGCGCACCACAACGAAGAGTAGCACCCACTCACCGCAACCAGAGAAAGCCCGCGCGCAGCAATGAGAACCCAATGCAGCCAAAAGTAAATTAATTAATTTTTTTAAAAAAGCTAGTACAGGGCAAGATAAGCATGCCTTATAAATTTACAAAACTTATTAACTGAAGGACTATAGAATAAAATGTACCACTTATTACAAAACATGTATTCAGTGAACATTTATTGATCATCTGGCCTTGAATCCCAGCTCTGCTACTTAGTAGTTGTGTAATCTTGGGAAAGTTACTTAAGTTCTCTGTGCCAGCATCCTCTTCTATAAAAGGACAATTGTAGGGTTTAAATGAGGTAAAATATATAAAGCACTTAGAATAGTGCCTGGCACATAAGTGCTCACTAAACATTAGACATTATTATTATTGTTAGGGAGAAACACTTACTCTGCATGCCCATGCTTCCACATTAGGAGAAAAACTTTCCACTCCATTTCCCAGGAAAGAAGGTTATAAAGAAAAAAAAAAAAAGTCTACTTTTTCTGTGTCCTTCACTCACTCCTCCCCAGAATAGGCAGGAGCTTGACTGCTGAGTTTGGGAGACGAAACTGAACATGACCGCCTTAGTTCTTTCCAGGTTCCCCCCGATTCAGGAACAGCCTGTGTAAAGTCCACATAAATTCTGCTTTTGTCTTGGAGGGTCAGGATCTGTCCCCATAAGGGGAAGAACGCAGTTTTGCTTGTTTTGTTATTTAGTGGTATGGGGATTCATTTTGGGAGAAAGTACTATATACAAGCTCTTTCAGTTGCACAATTTAAGCCACATTTGCCAATTAGTTTTATCAGTAATAACGCCAACATTCTGATCTCCATTTATCACCTGTCTTATTTCTAAACTTGTTCCAAATTCAGGAGAAGAAGAAAGGGTTATTAGTTATTGACCTACCCGAAATCTCAACTACTATTAGCCTCTGGCTACAAAATTCTTAGGGAGATTACATACAGTAAGAGATATAAAGCTCTTAAAACATTGTTTGATACATAATACATTCAACAGATGTTAACTATTAATATTATTACTATATGCCAGACATCGTGCTAGGTGGTGAGTTGGTTACCTGTTACAGGAGGAGCTTAATCCTTCAACAGACTCAGGATGGCTAAACCCTATAAATGGGACATTACAAACAACAGCACTGGCAGTTCCCACAATTCTCTCATTAAATAAAACATTTTTACTAAGCAAATACCATGTCAAGGACTATGATAGGTACTAGGAATTCAAAATTACATATGGAAATCTGTCCTTAAGAAGCTTACAGACTAGAAAGGAATAAAGAGCTATAAAGTGGTAAAACCTATGTCAAAGGTGTACATAGGGTGCTGATATACTATAGGAACTTAGAAGATGAGGGCTTTAAAATAAAGAAAAAAAGCTTAATAGAGCTTCAACTGAGTTTTGATGAAGTCACCTAGAATAGCTTGCATTTTGCCCAACTGAATGGGCCTTTTTCAGTCTTCATCTTTTTTGACCACCCTCTCCTTAAAAACCAAAAGCCAAACCAAAACAAAAACCTCTCTTTCTTTAGCCTCTGAGATTCCACAAGAGACTTCACTCTCTTTTGCTCATCTATCTCTCACCATTCCTTCTCAGCCACCTTTTCCAAAGCCTCCTCCCATATTTGGCCTCTAAAAGTTGGAGACCCTCACAGGCCCCCTGCTATTAAGCCCCTTTTTTCTCACTGTACAGCTTGTCACTGGTCTATCTTATCTGAACTCACGATTTCAATAACTATTTGCCATTATTATATCTCTATATTTAAATCTCTAACCTACTTCTCTCCTCTGAACTCCAGACTCATCTAATCCAAATGCCTACTTTACACATGGATATCTTGAAGGTATCTCAAAGCCCATGTGATCAAATCTCAACTCACTCACGATCTGCCTCCAACGAAGCTGTCTTCCTCCAGTGTCCTTAGTTCTCTCAGGGCCTGGCACCTTCATCCATCTGGTTACTTCATCTAAGCCAGAAACCCGAAAGTCATCCTTTAACACCTTCTTTTTCCCTACACCCTAAATTCAAACCATCACCAAGTCCTACTGATTTTACCTCCCTAAAGCTTTCCTAAATCTACCTGCTATTCTACCATAAACCTGTTTCAAAGTATCAAATCTCTTACCCTCTGTACTGTAAGATCCTTCTTACTGTCTTCCCACATATATTCTTGCCTCTTCTACAATCAGTCCTTAAAGCAGCCAGAGTGAAATTATTAAAACACAAATCTAATCATATCTCTGCCACGCTAAAAATCCTTCAACACACGCTACTGCTCTTAGGATAAAACCCTTCAAAAGGTTCTGTGTTATGTGGTCCCTGTCTACCTCTCCAGCCTCCTCTGGTATCCTTCTCCCTTATCACCCAGACCTTCCTTCAGTCCCGAAAACTCACCACTTCCCCTAGCACTTCATAGCCTTCCAACATGTTACCCTCCTCTACCTGGAATGCTCTCTCTGTTCAGCCTCCATCCCTCCACATTGTTCATTTCTATTCATCCTCTGGATTGTAACCTTAAAAGTCAAGTCCCCATAGAACTCTCTTGAGCCACTAAAGTAGGTAAGATCCTCATCACATGCTTTTATAGCACCCACCAACATTGTGTTTATATAGTTATCTATCAGGTTACCTTATCAGTGCTTGTCTCCCTCATACACTCCATGACAGCAGGGAAAAAAAATCTGTTTGCTCACCATTGTACCCTTAGCACTTAGAGCACAATAGCTGAGGTACAGCAGGTGCTCAGTAAATAGCTGTTGAATGAATGAAGCATTCTAGCAATAGCATTTCAGACAACCAAGAATTAGAAAACAACATGATCACTAAGAGGAAATAATGTAGAAAATTCACCTCATTGGTTTGTGGCTAGTATTAAGTAGGATAAAGAACATGAAGCGCCTGGCATGGTGCCACAGATAGCAGGTACTTGGTAAATACCTCTCCTTTCTCTAATCACCTTTAGATACAGAGACAGCACAGACTATAATATAAATGACTACAATATAACTTGCCTCAGGTTTCTTAAATTTATTCAAAGTTGTAAAAGATTTCTGAAACAGTTAATAAAATTGTATTACACTTAATTAAAATTTATTATTCTTCCTTAACCTCTAAAGAATTATGTAGAAAACAGCTACATAAGATTTTCTCTTAGGAAAATTAATATAATCTGGATTTAGAAAAGATGTGTTGATGTGGTTACAAAATGAGTTTTCACTTTAAGCATTCACCCTAAGCCACACTAAACAAACTTACAATGATACTTAAAATACGATTCTATTTACACAGAGCTTTTACCTGATACATCAAAGCACACCTGCACTAAACAAAACTCACAGTGTTATGCAAATCCCCTTACCTTATGTTCAAATGGAGCACCATAATAGCCATCATTCAGCCCAAAAATTATTTCATTTTGGTTGCGGGCATGAATCTAAGAGAGGAGGAAAACACATTATTAGTTCATCTCATTCCAATCAAGTTTTAATGTGATTAGAAAATGACAGGACCTACTTCAATGTTGAGAAATAGGTTGGCTACGTCTAACAAGCCAGCAGAAAACAAAACACTTATCATAAGACCAGGTGATCAATTTAGAGTTTCCTGCTTTAGTCAAAGTCCTCGCAAAATCATCACATGAGATCACAGGCACCATCATTCACACACATTTTTCACAAACACTTCTTGAGGTTGTTACAGAAAGCATATTCCTTAAGCATAGGGGATTCAGAGGCACACTCTACATTCTCTGATCTCAAAGAAAACACAGCCCAGTTAGTCTATTAGAGTGCTTTAAAAAACATGAAGCCCTAGAAAAAACATAAAAGATAAATATTATTTTCTAATTTCAAAAAGACATTTTAAAGATAATATCCAATCCTCAAAGTCTTTAAAAGTCTAATTATTTTCTGTCTACTACTCTCTTTCAAATGCAACTGATTCGAGCTTCAGTCAGTGCCAACCTCGAATTAAACTTCACCTAAAAGGTGGGAGAATTAAAACTTTTAAAATTGAAGAACTAAGATTTTTTTTTAAACTCAAAATAGTATAAAGTCTATAAAAACAGATTTAGTTACTTGATCAGAAAGAATTGTGGCTAAAAAAATTTTAATTGCTTCTGCAGTGAAGGATTAATGTGAGGGTTCAAGTGGGGGATTACCAGAATAGAATATTTCATCTCTTCTTTCTAGCTAGAGATAGAAAGGTCAAAGCCAGCAGTAGAAGATTCCTGTGAACATTTATTTGACTTCCATACCTGCTAAATCTATTACTAAAGCAAAATTAATCACATGCTCCCTGTTTACCTACATCATTTACTTAACTGAATACAATACCAAAAGATGGGCCTGCAATAATAAACTTATAATGAAAACTATAAACCAATTTCAAGAAGTGTTTCATTTTATGAGAGAAAAAGAGAAAGCACTACGAAATCAGTTTTAAGATTAGAAGAAACTCAAAATTTTACAAACATAGAATATTTTACACACATATATACCTCAGGAGAAAAAAGATTAAATAAAATCATATGCATCAAAATGTTAACAATGGTTGCAGCTGGGCAGAAGGAGTGCACATAATTTTTTTTTCTCCTCTCTGTGCTTTTCAAAATTTTCCAAATTGTCCACAAAGTACATGGATCACTTTTAAAATCAGAAAAATACATGCCATTTAAAGAAAGGGTGGGGTGAGATCATGGGCAGGAGTGAATCTAACATGAAGGTAAAGTTTTCAAAGCATACGCCTCATAAAGATGGGCATTAAATTGTTGAAAAGTATGACACAACATGTTTCTAGGACTTGAAAAGATACTGGGCTTAAAAAGAAAAAAAATTGAAGTGATCTGAGTTCTAATTCCAACCTTCTAGTGCTTCATAAGGAACTCTGACTTTATAGCCCTAGTGCCTAGCACTCTACTCAATATATAATCGCTAATCAATGTTAATGGGCCATGCTTTAAATCCCTCATCAGCCAAAAGCAGAAACACTCCTTGTTCTGTTTTATTGTGGTGTCATACAGATGAAATGAATCCAAGTATCACTGGATATGAAAGTACTTTTGGAAGTTAGACACAAACAATACTGGGGGAAAAAATCAGAATCAGTCAACCATAGAGCCCTTTGTTCCCAATTAATAAAGAAAATTAACAAAACAGGCTGCATGATACTCCATACTACTTACTATCCTTTACCATTAATTATAGATTACTGACCCCAAAACGTGTCAGAATCTTAATATGGAGACTACAGAATATAGAGCCTTTTAATTCAACCACAATCTTGTATTTTGATCCCTCTATGAAAAAAGGCACACTTTTTAAAGACAGATAATCAAAGTTGGTGAAATGAATAATAAATATAGTCTGAGCAATGGAACAAATAATAGCCTAAATCCACCAATCACTGTGTGACCTTTAACAAGTTACTTAATTTCTCTGAGCTTCTGTTTTCTCAGTCAAATACTGACAGGAAAATAATACTTGCTCACATGACCTTCAAAAGGCCCAAAGTCACTGGGTGCATGTAAAATGATTGTATGAATGTAAAAAGATACCCAAACACTGGAAGAGTATACAATCGCTGTTGGTATTAATACAAAGTTCTAACCACTTAAACTAAGCACAAGAACTTCTGCCACCGCAAGTGCCCCATATAAGCATTATCAACAAATTCTCCAAATTCCCACCTTGAATAGAGCTATTTTCAAACTCCTCTGCTTCTTTGTCATCAAAATTCAAGTCAAAACCAACTTTAGTTCATGACTTCTGGGGAAAACTTCCTGATTAACTCTCTTGTCTCTAAAGGCTATTCAGGAAATTGGCTTGTAGTTGTAGCTCCGGCTACTGTGGACAAGCTGCATCATCACTCTGTCCATTCAAATGACAGCAAAATACACATGACATGTACATGAAACACTTACCAAGACAGACCATAAAATAAATCTCAAAAAGGTTGAAAGGATTAAAATAACACGATTTTCTCTAAACACGACAGAATTAAAGTGGAAATCAACAAAAGAAGGATATCTGAAAACTCCACAAATGTATGAAAATTAAACAGCATACCTCTCAATAACCCTTCGGTCAAGAAGAAATAAAAGAGAAATTAGGAAATATTTCAAATTGAACAAAAACGAAAATGCAGTATCAAAATTGTGGGTCACAGCTAAAGCAATGCTTAGAGGAAAATTTATTAAATGCTTACTTTAGAAAAGAGAAGTCTCAAATCAGTAATCCAGGAATCCTAGTTTAAGAAACTAGCAAATTAGAACAAATTAAACCCAAAGCAGGCAAAAGGAAGAAAATAATAAGAGTAAAAGCAGAAACCAACGAGGGACTTTCCTGGTGCTTCAGTGGTTAAGACTCTGCGCTCCCAATGCAGGAGGCCCAGGTTTGATCCCTGGTCAGGTAATTAGATCCCACATGCTGCAACTAAGACCTGGCACAGCCAAATAAATAATTTTATTTTCTTTATTTTTTTTTTTTTTTCCCGGTACGCAGGCCTCTCACTGTTGTGGCCTCTCCCGTTGCGGAGCACAGGCTCCAGACGCGCAGGCTCAGCGGCCATGGCTCACCGGCCCAGCCGCTCCACGGCATGTGGGATCTTCCCGGACTAGGGCACGAACCCGTGTCCCCTGCATCGGCAGGCGGACTCTCAACCACTGCGCCACCAGGGAAGCCCCAATAAATATTTTTTTAAAAAAGGAAAAAAGCAGAAATCAATGAAATTGAAAAAGATAATAAGTGAAACCTCTTTCAGTGATCTGCAACCCAATTTCAATGGGGTGGGTGGGTAGTTCCCACACCAACAATAAGCAATTCTTGGACACCAGCAGGGTGTCCTGCTCTCAGGCCTGCATCAGATTCCACAGGTTAAGGGTTCAGTCCTACAAGACTGCCCCACACACATGGAAGGCCAGTCAAAGACCCAGATTGCAATCTGTGCTTCTAATTAACTGGCTACAGATTAGAGGTTCCAATTTAGAATATCAATCCCAAGTGCAGGTGTTACCTGTACTTCTGACCAACTGGCTGTAAATCAGAGGTTCCCACAACCTAGTCCTCAGGTTCGATTAATTTGCTAGCGTGGCTCGCAGAACTCAGAGAAATATTTTACTTACTGATCACCAGTTTATTAAGAATGTAACTCAGGGAACAGCCAAATAGAAGAGCTGCATAGGGCAAGGTATGGGGAAAGGGCACAAAGCTTCTATGCCCTCTCAAAGTGCACCATACTGCCCAATCTCTATGTGTTCACCAACTCAGAAGCTCTCAGAACCCCATCCTTTGGAGTTTTTATGGAGGCTTTATTACACAGGCATGACTGATTAAATCATTGACCACTGGCAATTGATTCAACCTCCAATCCCTCTCCTCTCCCAAGAGGTCAGACGGTGGGACCGAAAGTTCCAATCCTCTAATCCTCTTATCACATGGTTGCTCCGTAGGCAACCAGCCCCCACCCTTAGGTGCTTTTCAAAAGTCACCTCATTAACATAACAAAAGACATCTTTATCACATTCAACACTTAGGAAATTCCAAGAGTTCTAGAAGTGAGCCAAGAACTGTGCATCAAATATATATATATTTCTTATAAAACACAATATTGCAAAACCAAACACTAGATCTTTGAAAAGCTGATAAAACTGATAAATCTCTACTCAGAGTAATCAAGAGAAAAAGGGAGGGGCTGGGAAGATGGCGGAAGAGTAAGACGCGGAGATCACCTTCCTCCCCACAGATACACCAGAAATACATCTACACGTGGAACAAGTCATACAGAACACCTACTGAATGCTGGCAGAAGACCTCAGACCTCCCAAAAGGCAAGAAACTCCCCACGTACCTGGGTAGGACAAAAGAAAAAAAAAAGAAAAAACAGAGACAAAAGAATAGGGACGGCACCTGCACCAGTGGGAGGGAGCTGTGAAGAAGGAAAGGTCTCCACACACTAGGAAGCCCCTTCGCGGGCGGAGACTGCGGGAGGAGGACGGGGGAGCTTCGCAGCCGCGGAGGAGAGCGCAGCAACAGGGGTGCGGAGGGCAAAGCGGGGAGATTCCCGCATAGAGGATCGGTGCCGACCGGCACTCACCAGCCCGAGAGGCTTGTCTGCTCACCCGCCAGGACAGGCGGGGCTGGGAGCTGAGGCTCGGGCTTCGGTCGGAGCGCAGGGAAAGGACTGGGGTTGGCGGCGTGAACACAGCATGCAGGGGATTAGTGCGCCACGCTTAGCCGAGAGGGAGTCCGGGGAAAAGTCTGGACCTGCCGAAGAGGCAAGAGACTTTTTCTTACCTCTTTGTTTCCTGGTGCGCGAGGACAGGGGTTTAAGAGCGCTGCTTAAAGGAACTCCAGAGACGGGCGCGAGCCGCGGCTAAAAGCACGGACCTCAGAGACGGGCGCGAGCCGCGGCTAAAAGCGCGGACCCCAGAGACGG